CTTCATGGTATCCAACAACGAAGCCGAGTATGAGGCCCTCCTCAGCGGCCTCAGACTCGCCGCCCGCCTCAAAGCACGACACATCAGAATCAGATGCGATTCCAAACTGGTGGTGGGCCAGATCGAGGGCTCATACGAGGCCAAAGAAGGGAGGATGAGATAATACAAACAGGTGGCTGAGGAGTTGCTCAAGGCATTCGAAACCCATGAGATCACACATATCCCAAGGGCGGAGAATGCCGAGGTCGACATCCTCTCCAAGCTCAGCACAGATACTCCAGAGCACATCTCTAAAATAGCTAAGGCCGAGGGGCTCAGCATGTCCAGCATCCATGCCAGCCCGATCATGTGCATTCAGCATCGGCCGGAGGACCGGATCACCGATATTGTGACCTTCATCACTTTGGGAGAGCTACCCCAGGACGAGGAGAGGGCCAAGCTAGCCAAACTCAGGGCCCCAAGTTACACCATTGAAAATGGGAAACTCTATAAGAGATCCTACAATGGCACTCTCCTCCGATGCCTACACCGGGATGAGGCTGACATAACCATGGAGGAAGTCCACTGTGGTATCTGCTCCTCACACCAGGGGCTTTTCAGCATTTCCCGCCGTCTCGTCGTCCAAGGCTATTTCTAGCCGACGATGGCACGAGATTGTGTTAATCTTGCAAAGAAGTGTACCTCATGCCAGGTAGTACAAAAGGCCCCTGGTGGGCCGGCCGTCAACTACGCCTCGGTTAGCACTGCAATCCCATTCTCGAGGTGGGGGATTGACCTGGTCACCCCCCTCCCGGAGCCACCGGTAACAACCGCTACATCATTGTCACCATCGACTACTTCACCAAGTGGGTTGAAGCGGAACCTTTGGCTAGCATCACAGGGGCCATGTGTTAGAGATTCGTCCACAACAACATTCTCACCCGCTTCAGCGTTCCCCAGGAGATTATATCCGACAACGGCACCTAGTTCGAGGCCACACCCTTCCAAGAACGCCTCCAAGAATGGGGAATCAAGCATCGCTTCTCCTCTGTTGCCTACCCTCAAGGTAACGGGCAAGTTGAGAATGCCAACAGAACCATTCTGGAGGGCATAAAGAAGAAACTCCAGGACGCAGGAGGCAGCTGGGCCGACGAGCTCCCCAACATTTTGTGGTGCTACCGTATCACGCCGAGGAGGGCGACGGGCGAAACACCCTTTGCCCTTTGCTATGGTTTTGAGGCAAAGGCGCCCACAGAGATCAGTATAATTGATGAAGAGATCAGTACAAACATTTTATTAGCAGACAAGAAATCCTACAATCTCTTATCGTTGCTCAGAGGCATTCATGTTCTTTTTTTAATGGAAATCTTCTATATTGGAATCAAAGATTATTACAATATACTCAAGCTAGTATCAGTCCCGCATAAATCGCTAATCATGTAAAGGACAAATGGAAGCTTAATTTGATCACGTTGATCTCTATGTTTCTAACTTGATATAGGAAACCTTCAATTTGTCTAGCAAATTCAAAATCAATGAACAAATAATAAAAAATGCATGAATAAGGGAAATTGTAAATACGGTTGAAAGTAGTCATCATTGTCCGATCATGTAGCCGTAGCGCCCTGTCCTGATTCCACCATACCTATAGATATGTTGCGCCTAGCAGAACATGAAATTTGAAATGCACCAGTCTAATAGAAATATAGAGTCACTCTTCCGATCAATGGTAGTGGTTCGGCTGGGGAGATGAGCCATTGGTAGTGTCATAGACGAGTATTGTCTTCAATAGCAATTAAGTAACAAAATAGCATCCTAGAAGAGTGTCTGATTTGAGAAGAAATCACCCATAAAATAACTGCCAAAATTGACAAAATAATAACCCTAAACACATTATAAAATAAATAATCGTTCATTCGAGCTCCAAACTACTTTTTAGACATTTTTTAACAATGAAGAAGATGAAAGATAATACTGGAGAGAGTTGAGGGAGATGAGCAAAAATGGACGGCTAGAAACTCTCAAACTCTTCTATGCATTTTTCATTGTTACCATTTAAAAGTCATTAGGAATATGAGAAAGTACTAAGCTGAATGGGTCCAAACTAATAGAGAGAAGAGAACAAATGTTTTGAATATATTTCTGTGTGTTAAAACTGGTTTACAAGGCTGCTATTTATACATCTCCTAATCATGTATATAAGGTAAATAATAATACTATAGTAAATGTCAAAGATATGTAACGGCTAACTAAAATATTGTGTTCTAAATACAAATTATTTCTTTCCTTCAATACAAACAAGATACAAAGTTTCAACCGTTTTACAAAACATAAAAATACTCAATGTACTTCTAAGCCAAAGTAAATCATAAACAGCATCAATACATAAAAAGTCGATTCATTCAATCTTTATATGACCCTAACGAATTGTTTAGTATGACTTCCAATCATTTCCTAATCATATACTTCCTGCGATACTTTTTAATACAAAAAAAGATCGGTGTTTCTCATTTAGAATTTCGATTTCAGCCTACACAAAAAATTGTATGTACTGCATGGAAACAATGTGAACCCAAAGAAAACACCTTTCAATTCATGTCATATATTTTGGATTTACACTCACAAACTTACACTCCATTGACCCAGGGATTAGGTGTGCTAACAATCCAGGCTTTCTCAACTAAACTAAAGCCACCAGGATCATGCGACTCGGGGTGTGAGCCAGTCCATGGTACACAAGCGGCAGTGTTATTTACGGGCTTATACCTAGTGGCGTTGGGCGTGGGCGGCATCAAGGGATCCTTACCAGCCCACGGGGCAGAGCAGTTTGACCAAGACAGCCCTCAGGGGAGAAAGCACAGGTCAACATTTTTCAACTACTTCGTCTTTTCCCTCGCATCAGGTGCTCTCATAGCAGTCACTCTTGTGGTTTGGGTTGAAGACAACAAAGGGTGGCAATGGGGGTTCGGAATATCCACCTTTGCCATCTTCCTCTCCATTCCAGTTTTCCTTTCTGGTTCCATGTTTTACCGGAACAAGATCCCATCTGGAAGTCCTCTGACCACCATATCTAAGGTTCAGCATTGTCCCCCCCGCCCCCGCCCCCCCAACATCATTCATTACATAGTTTCCACTGCTTGGGCACTTGGGAAACCATTTCGATCCCGGAATGTACTTGGGAAAGATAACAGGATGTAAAACAGTAAAAAAATGGAAAGGAAAGAAAAACATTAAATAAATTTAGTAACTGTAGATTTTATTTGACACTCATTTTACTTATGTTATCCATAACTTCATCCCAAAATATAGGCCTCAAAAACTTTTGATGAATATCAAGGAAACTAGTGGTGCTTTGCTACTTTCTAGATTTAACAAATTATCTTTTCTTGAATATCTGAAGCTTTCTGTGTTTTTTAATAATGAAATTTGCAGGTTCTTGTTGCAGCCATTTTGAACACAGATGGTTCAAGAAATTTAAGAAGCGCGATCGCAAGCATGCCAACAAGCTCTTCTCCAGCAATACACAGAGAAAAAGGAGAAGTTTTTAATACGATCGAAAGCACAGACGGTGAGCAACAGTTGGTTGATTTCCCATTATCAGAGAGTCTTAGGTTCCTAAACAGGGCAGTTTTAAGCAGAGGAGCAGAATGCTCAGTGCAAGAAGTGGAGGAAGTAAAAGTGGTGATAAAAACCTTGCCAGTTTTCGCATGCACAATCATGATCAGCTGTTGCCTCGCACAGCTCTCAACCTTCTCAGTCCACCAAGCGTCCACAATGAACACGAAGCTCGGGTCCATGAAAGTCCCGCCTGCTTCACTCCCATTTTTCCCCGTGGTCTTTATCATGATCCTTGCACCAGTCTATGATCACATTATAATCCCATCCATGCGAAAAATGACCAAGACAGAGATGGGGATATCTCACCTCCAGCGCATAGGGATTGGGTTGTTTCTCTCGATCGTAGCCATGGGAGTAGCAGCTGTAGTGGAAGTCAAGCGGAAGAATGTGGCAGCAGGAGTTGACAGCTCATCAAAGGAGCCACTTCCCATCACATTCTTCTGGATTGCATTCCAGTACCTTTTTTTGGGATCCGCTGATCTGTTCACACTGGCTGGACTGTTGGAGTTCTTCTTTTCGGAAGCACCTAGTAGTATGAGATCCTTGGCTACCTCGCTGTCTTGGACTTCATTGGCCATCGGATACTACCTCAGCTCGGCTATCGTCGGCATTGTCAATAGTGTGACCGGGTTCAAAGGGCACAGGCCATGGCTCTCTGGTGACAATTTGAATCATTACTATTTAGAGCGATTCTACTGGCTCATGTGCATTCTCAGCCTCTTGAATTTCATCCACTATCTCTTCTGGGCATCACGCTATAAGTACATCAATTTGCCATGACTAACCTAATAATTATGTTACGCATATAGCATATAGGCAAGTCAGGAACAACCAAGTTAATGCCAGTTTTTTTCTGTAAACACTGCTTGATCAATTCCTGGATCCTAATCCAGCAAATGAGGAATATAAATATGGTTCAGAATCATCTTGAGGTAGGCCTTTGAGTAAATATGTGAAGTTCTCCAACCGCCTTTAGTGCTTGTCTAAACTGGACGGTCCGATCCAGCAAGAAGTTAGAGGGGGTCATTTTTTTGTGCTTGTTTGATCCTCACTGTTCGATCATGATCTGACGGTTGTGATTTAGATGAGCACAAACCTACAAGAGCTTGGGATCCACCGTAACATGACCTCTTAGCAGAAGGATTAATTTAAAATCTTAGAAGTGAATGTATTTACATATTTGGTATATTTGTGATGGCTTAAAATGGCCCACAAGATTGTAACTCTTTAGAGCATACTGATCTTAAAGTTTGTATGCTCGTTATTGAAACCTATCAAGTCTTACTGGAGTTTAACGGTCTCTCATACCATATTGACTTGGGTTCTTATCATCAACTTGATACACAGAGTAACCCAAGGTGTTATGTGTGAATTTATCTCCGTGGTATTTAATATTTGATGACTATTGAACCAGTGTTCATAATTTTATTCAAATACCATGTCACAGTATATATACAAAGAATGTGCATTACAATCTAAAGCGTATGCCTCTATTTGTCCAGTGGTTATAACGCAGAACCCTGATCAATAAAATACCTTGATACAAACGGAGTTGCGGAGAAGATTACAACAACTCCATATGAGAATTACTACGACGTGGTGGTGGTTCCCATGGATGAGCCTCTCACCGTAACCTTGACAGCAGCAACAGCACCTAAGTGGCTCCTGTCAGGTCCCAATCCATGTTTCTCATGGGCATTCTCTGCATCTTCTTCTATTTGAACACCAACAAAGTATGCAACCTACACAACAGTAGGTAAAGAGCATAAGTCACGACAATTTGGCTGTTGCACATATCATTTAAGTCCAATACTCCCATCGTCCCAAAAAATGAACCAGATTTGGGTAAGGTACAAATTCTGTCAGATAAGTCATGCACAATTTTTTACAACTTAATACGAATGTCCACTATTTATCTAAGAGTTATTTCCAATATTGTAGCTTCCCACAAACTTTCCTTAAAAACTAAACCCTCCATTTAAAACGCTCTTTTTGGGACAAAACAACTCTTGAAAGAAGGCTCTTTTAGGGGGCAGAGAGAGTACAAATCAAGCATAGATTTCACGAGTATATTTTTACTGTCCCATGTACAGATCCAACATAAGGTCCGGAGGCTTTTTTTACATGCTTAAAAATTACATACATCTAACTGGGACAGGTAATTAAGTTACAATGCTCAACTACTCAACTAGACAGGACTCGACTTTATCTCTATATAACACGTTTATCTCAAGCAAGTACTCTATTCTCAAAATAGATATTACAGATATAACACATACATACACACACGTACACATGTAAATATATATGTATGCGTAAATATACATATGTATGTACACACTCGCACTCACGCGCGCACACATTTATATATTCATCCAATGAGGAAGATGTCATTACTTTGCTCAAATAGACACATCTAAAGTCTTATTTCTCACAAACAAGTAATTAGTAAATATCATCATTTGCTCCAACATAAGTAGTTTCATATTAACGGCACTCAATCTTCAAAAAAATTAACAGGTCTATAAGCATTTATAAACTTAAAAAGCAATATAATTGGCACCCATTCATAATCTATGGAGGTAATTAATAATATGCACTCACAATGATATCCGAATAATCAAGCTTGATCAACAAAATCACATATTATGAAATACACATGATATTACCTTGCCAGTTGCATTTCTAACAGGTGAAATATGCAGGAAATTACAAAACGGTGTGCTATCTTTTCTGCAAAATAAAGAAAAAAACAAATGTTTCATACTTAAAATGCAGCAACTGTTTTCTCAATCCAGCAACATATATATTCAGCAACCAACCTGTAATTTAAGATACGTGTTGTACATGGTTGTGCTGTTCTAATGCATTCTTTTATCTGAGAGACAAAAGTAAACAAAATTCTTCATTTTCTCTTTTGCACAATTACCCTAATCATTTTTTGAATACTTACCCTATAATATAATAAAAAAGTCACCTGGAATTGAGTAAGGGAATTGGTATCAAGACCACTTAAAAATCTGCAGTTGTGTCCCAAAACATCATCTCTATTATATCCTATTTAAAGAAGCGCAAGCAACATAATAGACTTACAAATGAAATTTACTTGAAAATATGTAGATGTTAATAATACCCTCAAGCTTATTGAGACAACCATTTGAGAAAAGTTGAAACTTTATACGCACCTGTCATTCTTAAGAAGGCCTCACTTGCATATACGATTGGCATGTCAGGTTTTTGTGGATCAGTTCTGCGTAATTTGTGGAAATAATGAAATATATGAGGGAAATAGAGCATAAACATACTGAGATCAAACATGTGGAAGAATTAGAGAAATTGAGAAATGGATTATAAAACTCACAATACAAAGCTTTGCTTGATTGTACCAAGAGATGATGTTAGTGATGTACCAAGAAGGTCCATCCTAGGTGGAGTGCATCTCTTTCCAGACACCAATCTGCCAGTCAACTCACTATAATGCATAAGAACAGATAATATGTTGTGGAGAGCAGCCATAGATGTTCTCTTCTCTATATCACTTGCCACACATGGATCAGTATCCTCTGGTTCTGTAGATGGCAAATTTAGTGGAAATGGTGCTGAATTTGGTGAGCAACATTGTTATGGAAGACAAAGCCTGTCAGGTAGCCTATTCAAACTATTTTATTTATGAGTAGAATAAGCAGACTAATTGGAACAAGTAGCTTGTGGCTCACTTATTTGGCTGAAGTGGATTTTACCAAACAGTTTTAGCCTTTTACTTTGAGCCAAACAAGGAATTCATGTCATTTCAGCCAAATATTCATGACATCCTATATTATTTAAACTTGAGTATCTGCCCTAAAAGTTCAACTAAATGAAAGGGTATGCTTAGTAGTGGATGGGGGCTCCTTGGAGCATACTGATAATCAATGCTCTTTTCTTAGATGATTTAGTTGCTCTTTTAAGTTTCATGGCCTTTGATACCCAAAATGTACAGTGGTCCCTGAACATCACTCACCAGGATAATGCAAGCCAGAAACTGAATGTGAAGCTAATGCAGGTCCAAATTTTGAAACCGGATTGAAGCAAACATCTCGTCTACAACACATGAACATGGGCTCCCTAAAAGCAACTCCATCCTTACAAAGGTTCATTCGCTTCCTACCGAGCCTCGTTGGCCTATTCAAGATAGGCACTTGGACTGCCAAAAAATGAATAACCCTCCCATCCTCGCAGAAAACAGGAGACATGTGAAACAGCATCCAAAACGGTATCCCATCTTTCCTATAATTTAATAAACTAACTTGTATAGTACGCTCCTCGTGTATGGCCTCTCGGATTTCCATAACGGATCTCCTGTCAGTCTGTGGACCCTGAAATACCCTACCGTTCTTACCAATCACCTCCTCCTTTGAATAACCGAACAATTTCAAGAACCCAGTAGAAGCATACACAATTGGATGACCAGAAATGGAGGGATCAGTTATGGTAAAACTGTCAGGCAAGCTATCAAGTGCATCTCTAACCAAACTTGAGTACCTGACATTAAAGGACTGCTCAATCAAACCCAGTTGTGATTCCATCTCAACTCTACTCTTTTTATCGTAAAGATCGAGTTTTTATCATAAAGAATTAATCCTGATCCCATGTGTCACTCTCAGCTATTTGAACTGCTTCTCAAACCCTCTTGCTTCAGCCCACATATACACATTTAAAAGAACTAATCAGCAACCACAAAACTCACGGACAGAACACATTGAAAGAAATGTTTTGTCACGTTAATTCAAGTCGATTAACACGCTGAACAGCTGAGTTGATCTTAATTCTTACGTATCTTATGAGGGTGTGAAGGTTGAAGAACGAAGAAGAATGAAGAGGAGGATAGAACCAAAACTTCTTGGCACAAAAATATCTGAAGGGCACGATTTTCGTGGATGAATTAAACGGAGTGCAGATTGGTTAAGAAATGGAGTTAGAGATAGTGAGGTTCCCAAGTTGCAGAATCACAGCCACATCAGATACTCCGTATTTAGCAACATTTTAGCGTTATATATTTATATTTAGTTGTGGTCAAGAAACATGATTGGAGATTAAGTCATCCATTAGTTCAATTAGTACACGTATTTAGTTCTATCGGCCTTCAGCGGTCTATATGGTAAAACCGGCTGAATTAATCAGGACCTAACCGGTAAGTACGCCTAATGTTGGGTCAATGAAATTAAGGATGTTTTCTTTAGGACTGTTTTCAATCTCATACCAGACAAAACCAGATTACATGAACTCAGATCAGACCAGATCAGACCAGATCAGAATAGACTTTCGTGGTTATAAAAAACACAGAGACCAGACATATGCCAAATCAGAGCAGACCAGACCAGCAAATTTATGTCCAAAAGAAAATATCCTAACTACTTAACACTAACATAAATATCATAATACGATAGTATTTACTATCCTCCTCTCCCGACCCCCGACCCCCCCCCCCAAAAAACGATAGTATTTACTACGTAGTATTTAGGATGTTTTTACTTGGTATAAACAGAGCAGATCAGACCTCGACCGTTGTAAATTAGACAGAGACCAAACATATATCAGATCAGAAAATTTCAATATAAATAAAAACATCCTTAGGACATTTGAAAATTATAAGAAAAATGAAATTACTTGTTTGGTATTAAATTTGTAATTTATGAACAGATCAGACCTCGACAGTTGTAAATTTGGTAACACTCGAATTGCTTGAATTAGTCGAATATGTTGAAATTGATGAAATTCCTATTGAAACCGTTGAGTTAGCTGGATCTACTGAATTATGGAATAATTATATTTAAAATATTTTATATAAAAAAGCTAAAAGGGTCATCTATATTACTTTAGCCAATTTAGGCAAAAAGTAACATGATCTTATTTATTTTGATTATTACACAATTCAACGTGCGAAAATAAAAAATTAGATGTTTCGTAAAATGTTTGCTAATAAGGTTGATGAACTTAAAATAGAGGTTGTAGTTGGAACAATAATTGCATCATATCTACCGACTACTAAGGGGGTGTTTGGATCTGATTCTTAAAACTGCTTCTGCTCCTTCAGGGAGCAGAAGCAGAAGTTGGAGTGTTTGGGTGAAAGTGCAGAAGTGATTCTGGTGCTCTAATTTACTTCTAGAATCAGTTTTTTTAGAAGCTGAGGGTGACCAGCTTCTGAAAACTGATCCTGATTCTGCTTTAAAAAAGAAGCAGAAGCAATCAGTTCCAAACACCCCTAAGTAGCGTAGGATTGTAGTTTTTAAAACAAAATCTCCTTTACGTATTAGCAGACGGGTGCCTAGGGTTTCTCCCTGGGTTACCATTGTTTGGGTAGCGGAACAGCTTGGGCGGAGGCTTCTCTGGTTGCCAGCGGACGGATTCCCTTCTAGCAAGCCAAGGTACAATGGAACTACTGTTTGGTTGGGGCGCAGGAGGTGTTGGGGTCGAGCGAAGGGAGTAGGACCTCCGTTTTTGGCCTGTGCAGTGGACCTGTGGTGCGGCGATTTGACGGATTCCACTCTGGCGGCCACTTAAGGGAAGATGACAGCGGTGATAACGATTCGAGGAGAAGCGGCTGATTCATATGTTTGGCAGCATGGAGATGGATAAGGAAGATGGGACTATTTTGGCGAAAGTCACCGCCGTGTATGGAGCGCTCTATAGTTGATCTGTCCTCCTCCTGAACCATCGTCGTGGAACGCACGAGTTGGAGTTCTGGTTGTCTATGGAAGTTCTCCGTTAAAAGACATAAAAATAATGGAGCTTGGCAACTAGTGATAGGTTCATTTAGTTTGCATTTTAATACTGTTATCTTCCAGTTTGTTTTTTATTTTGGAACCTTAGGAGGTGTTTACTTCGCCGCTAAAGTCACAGTTAGGTTAGTAAGACAGGTGAAATAAACACGCAAGTTGCTTAAAACGCTGCTTACTAATCGAAAGAGATGCTTAAAGTGCCGCTTAATAAGCATACCACTCATCATGTATTAATTAAGCGGCACTTTAAGCTTTTTCAGTTTCCGAATTTACCCTTACCTTTACCCCTTGCCCTAACTCTATTGCTACCCCACTACCCCGCCCCTACCCTACCTTACACCGACCCCACCCCGGACCCCCAACCCCACCCTGACGCTGACACCACCCCCACCGTTGACTCGACCATACCCCACCCCCACCTTACCCCTACCCCGACCCTACCCTCCACCTACCCCACCCACCCTCACCCCTTACCCTACCGCTTTACCCCCTACCACCTTCCCCTACCTTGACCCGACCCTGACCCTACCCCATGTGTACCCCTTACCTTGACCCATCCCTACCACCCCACCTTACCCCCACCCCCACCCTACCCCACGTGTACCCCTTACCTCGACCCTACCCTTTTACCCCTACCACCTGACCCTACCTCGACCCCACCTCCACCCTGGACCCGACCATACCCCACCACCCCGCACTACTCCTTACCTTTATCCGACCCCGACCCTACCCTTTTATCGCTTACCACCTGCCCCTACTTCGACCCCACCCCAATCTGTACCCCTCCCCCACCACCTCACCCAACCCCTACCCTACCACCCCAGTACCCCTTACCCCTACCCCGACCCTACCCTCCACCACATATTAGGGGTGTGGGTAAGCGACTAAGCGTACGAGGTGACCCCACATATTATATTATATACTTGTGTTCATGAATGTTTGTGTGTGTATATATCTATAGGGTTATTTTGGACATTTTAATGATAAACGGTGTTTTAAATCCTTTGAAGTAAATATGAACTTACAACATTGCTTATTTTATGCGCCGCTTATTAACGCGAGTCTTAATAAGCACCGTTTACTAACTCGTGAAGTAAACGTGTCCTTAGTGTTTTTGGGGTGTCATGCTTATGAGATCGGTAGGTATTTTTTGCTTAGGAGTAAGATGGCTTCAAAAGCCGAGATATTCTTCAAATCTCTCAAAGGGTTAGCGGCTCGATCCGCTCTATCTAGGGTGCTCGATCCGCTCCAGTATTGAAACGTTTGTAATGGCGTTGGTTCTTGATTTCTAATATAATCGTTCAGTTTCCTTTCAAAAAAATTAAAATAGAGGTTATCAACGGGCTTTATGAATAAGCTTGAATTGTACAAATATTATTCCTTTATGTCCCAATATTTTTGTCTTATGCTTCATTTTTAATTTGTCTTATTAAATTTGTCTCAACCCAATTTAGTAATAATTGTATTGCACAAATATAGTATGAGACAAATTTATGAGATAAACAATCAACAAGCAGATGAAACAAAGATAGTGGGACACTGAGACCATGACTACAAATTCTAAGCATCATATTTAAAAACATAAAACTTTACCATGTGATTCTCACATGACTATAAATTCATTATAGTCATTCCATGCTCAAATGTCCCCAATTATCATAATACTAGTTGTGGATTTAGTCCAAGGTTATGTGATCATTGTGTTAACCTTGAGGACCCCAGAACATTGTAGTTAATGCTAGAAATGGGGTAGCCCAATTAATTAGGTGATGTAAAAGATGACTCTTTCCTTGATTTGTTTCTCGACTTCAATGAAGAAAATGGATGAATTGCTCGATTAGCAAAGTGTTTCTATCATAATGATAATTAGTTGTATGTCTCATATTCAATTGAAGCAAGAAGTTATACACTTGGATAATGACATTGCTTTACTCAGCATCCACAACTTTAGTAAGCAAACTCATTATAATATGACCTATCATTTAGAACAAAATAAACTACCTAATATGGAATAACAATTTATACTCCCTCCGTCCCTAAATGTTTGTCACACTTTAACTTCACAAGTTTAAAGGAGATGAATTTGACTTTACACTGTAGCGACACTGTTTCACACTGTAGCGGCACTGTTTGGCACTGTTTGACACTATTTTGCACTAGTTAACACTGTTTGGTATAGATTTGTTTACCAAATAAGGAAGTTGAAAAAGTACGACAAACATTTTGAGACATCCGTTTCGGGAAAGTGTGACAAACATTTAGGGACAGAGGGAGTAATATGTATCTCATAAGAATGAGGCCACTCTCTTTGGGAAGGTGAAATAACATATGTAGTATGTCTTAAGTTCAAAAGGAACTGTGGAGGTATTGGCCCATAAAGCCATGGCAGCCCTCTTTGTCTTGTTGGGCATGTTTACTTGCCTCTGGACTCTGGCCCATGTATGTTTCTCGCTAGCCCCTTTTCTAGAACCCTCTATTAGGGTTCCTTGCAGTCCTTTGGTACTTAAGCTCTTCTGCTTGCACTTGAGCGGGTGAGATCCTTCGGTTAGAGAGAGAGAGAGAGGCAAGAGAGAATGAGAGAGACTTTGTCTCTTCTCCTTCGATTCTTCTGTGGTGCTTTCTCTCTGAGCTTCCCCTCCTAACCTATGGTGTGCGTTGAGATGGCTGGGCTGACCTGAGTGTGACTGTCCCTTCCGATGGTGCTTGGTTGTGTGCTGTTTGAGCATGGTCTAAGCTGGAGAGGTGAAAACCTGACAGTGGTATCAGAGCCGGACCTCCTTTCGTCCTCGTCTACAGCCCGAGAGCTCCTCCGCCGCCATCCGCCGCAGATCTCCTTTGAGTGGTAAGTCGAGAAGCCCATCCACAGGTTCTCGCTCAGGTAAATTGGCGATAAACACCCTAGGTAGCCGGGTGCCTCCAGTATTGTGTGTTTTTGGTGTTTTTTACTCTCTTCATTCCCTTCCCCGCTTTTCTTTTGCTGATGACCTAGATGTTCTGGCTGTCAGTTGTAACTGACTACTCCCAGGTGCGTACGCTTTACCTTTGTGTGTGAAGTTTGATCTGCATGTGTGTTTTCTGTCTCTGCATGTTTAGATCTGTGATTCGTACTGGTTTTGTGTATGCGGGCTTGAGGTTTTGAACCTGTAATCTGTCTCCCTTGCGTGTTTATCTCACCTTTATTGTCCTTTGTGCTTGCTTGTTACCCTTGTGAACTGGGATTGTTTTAACCTGTGTGACTCGACACCTGAGGTTAGGACTGACAGGTTCCCTGCCAGTCACTCAAGTGGCTTTCGGATCTGCGTG